GTGAAATGTAATTTCTTCGGAAAAAAAGATATACGTTCTGAAAAATATTGTTGAAGATTCTCCTGAAGCAGAAACATGTCATCGAATTCTTCTCTCAATAATAGTTTTCGACGGAGGCGGGGGAGAGGTATCTTTTTATTGACTGTCCATTTTCAACAGAAAAATATTCTTTCTTTAGAACTAGTCGATCGAAGTAACTTTTATTGAAGGAGAATGTAGAAAAATCCAATATTTATTTGATAAAATAATACTGAGTTTTCTTCTATGAAATTGGATTATAGGAAGAGATCAAGGTTCTGCTCGGGTGAATTAAGATTATCGGCCAGTTTCTATAAAAGAATCTAGCATACAATTTCTGCGAAGCGCAATGAAATGTGATTTTCGCTATAGAGATAATGTACAAAATTAGTTTTTACAGTTTAAAGCGAAAACACACCACTCATGAGTTCGCAACTTGTAAATTTCAAAGTAAACTTTCTGTTTCTAACATTATCTACCTTGATATGGAGCATATATAAAAATCGATTTGAGACGTAGAGAGAATATTTACGTAAAGATAAAGTTAGCTTAAACTTACATTAGGTAAAGTCCAAAAATATTTTAATGTACTTAGAATATATGCATTTCACTTGCGTTTCGTTATCCGACGATGAAATGCATTTTAAACACGCAATCAAAAAGATATGAACAGAATATGCAGAAACATAATAAATTTGAATGTTTGTACCATGTGCATAATTGGCAGCATGTAAAGAAACAACAAATTTTTTATATACATGAATTATGTCAAATACATCATATTGGAGCTTAAATAATTTTTATAAAAGTTAAGTAATGGACATGAAATCTCTCTCTCTCTCTCTCTCTCTCTCTCTCTCTCTCTCTCTCTCTGTCTCTCTTTATTCTTTCTTGATTAAAACTTATTTTCTCTTTAGTAAATTGTGCAGCAATCGATTACTAATAATATAAAGTCGACAATAATTTCGCTTTAGTGTTAATAAAGGTTTACAATCACATTTCCCTAATTATTTGAGTGAGATGTTAATTTAGCGAGAAAAAACATTAAGAGCGACCTTCCCTTGTTATCAAAAATGATGGAATTGCTTCTCGTTTTTTACATTATTTCTTTAGCCCTTCAATTTCTCTGTCATAGAAAATTGTATACATCTATTTCGGATATAAATTTAAATAGAAATCGGGAAAAACACGGTATGCATCTCTTTCCCTCTCTCATATTTTTTGCAGACAGTAATAATTCTTTAGAAAACGGGAGATGTAAATCCATAAATTTTTATATTTTATTACATTTTATACAATATTTGAGCGTCAATTTACTTTTTTCTCCTCTACATTACTCTTGGGAAAAAATAATGATGACATAGTACTATTCATAATCATGCAAAATATAATGCAATTAATATTTTTTAGTTGAATATCTATTTATATTATATTTAATTTAATATTTATTAGTGTAATATTTTCAATCTACGTCATACATTTTCTCAGTGTTCTCATTTTACGTTGATATACCGAAGATTTGTAATGATCAAATATAGATTTAAATTTTGTTATTTAGAAAGAAGGATTTATTAAAAATTGAATATCCTCTCCAATATTGTCGATAGCAGCAACTGATGCACGAACTAATTACTGAGAGTATATGAAACTGGTATTGCGTTTAGCTCAAATATAATCTCGCCTTTGCATCAAATATATGATAGAGGAGAATCTTACAATCTCATTTATCAGGCAAATAAATGGAAACATGTTCAATATTCCTTATTTTGAAATAGTTATTTAAAAAAAAATTAATTAATCGGTAGTAATAAAATAATCATATTATTAAAAATATTAGACGCAATAATAATTAGAAAAACTTAAGAGTTTCGTAATAATAATAATAATATATAATTATAGTACGTTCGCATTGAAAAAACCGCAACAGTGACAATAAATATATACGAAAGGCACAATGGCCGACGGGGATGAGGACATTCGAAGTGACGTTCTTCGTGACAGAATTGGAGTAGCAACATATTTTCGTTACGGAGACCGATCGGTCGATGGTCCAAAGTCGACTGTCGGTCCGCGACGCTGCTGTCGGATACTGTCGGTGGCGTCGCGACGCTTGCGCCCCAGGTTCCGCGACTCAGACGGCGCCCCGACGCTGGTATCGTCGGACGGAGCGATCGGTCGGGCCAACAGTCAGCCTCCAGTGAGCCAAGCAAGCTCTCTTTCCCTCCCTAACGCTCCCCCCTATCACATATACATGCACACGCATATACAGGAATATATACGGCACACCGATACACATACACACACATACACACACACGTACAAGGCAAATCGTATATACATGGCACACAAGAAGAGGGAGAGAGACTAACACACAGACAGACACGTGCGCACGTACATACTCTCTCCGCCGACATCCTGCGAGAGTTTCCATCCCCCGAACGACACGAGAGGGAGTCCGAGTTCCTGGCTCGTCCCTCACGGCTGCAGTGCGTTTCCAAACACCCACGAGACAACCTCGAACTGCACGCATGCACGCGGTGTTGAAGAGACACGAGGACGAAAAACGAGACATTCCCGAAGCCTCCCTCGTGGTGCCGAGAAACCGGGATGAGTTTGGCTGCTGGACAGCCCGCCACGCGACTGTGTCGTCGTTGATATATCAACACTGATTGCCGTAAATTTCATCATTTCCTTTCCTCGTCCTCCGATTAATTCTCTCATATTTGTCTGTCATATATACTTCAACCCTTCTGTATCCTGGTACTTCGCGAGATGATTCAAATGCCGCGAAAAGAGCCTACACTCGCAAGTCAGGGCCCGCTCGAGTGAATTGTGCGCTGACTGTTTAAAGGACCGAAAAGTTGTATACGTGTGTTTGTGGGGAGGACCCCGTGAGACCAATCGTGTTCCAATCGAAGTGCGCGAATTCAATTTCTCGTCCCGATAATGTCGTTTTGCAACGTATTCGATTCGCAAGTCCGATTTTGGTGTTGGAATTTTTGAGAGGCGCGGAAAAAAACAAACAGGAAACAAAAAACCTCTGCGAGGTTTTGTTTTTTCAAAACGCGATGCTATAAACACCATAATACGGTATTGTCGAAGGTTTCTGCGTCGCTTTCATCGTCTTCGCCCTGAATAAATACGAGGATAGAAAACATACGTACGCGGAAATAACAACCCTCGTAGAAAACGAGACGCGCTCCGTCAGAAGCGAAATGTCTCAAGTAAAAGCTGATCTCCGGTACTGTCAAAGCCGATGGAAAAGGTAGCACCGTTAAATCGTCAAGGAAATCGGGATGATCCGAATCAAAGTCAATCGAGTGGCATCAAATTGAAATAAAATAATAAATAAGTAAATAAAAAGAATTCAGAATTATTGACTATCTTAAGTCGCTTCGAAATAGAACCGGCGCGATATAAAAGAGACTTACAAATCAGATGACGAAACCAGGTCTTGCAAGATTTTGAAATTGAAAGAGGATTCACTTTTCCCATTTATCGCGTCAAGAACCGCTAAATCCAAAGTAGTAGTTCGAGCGAAGGAACGTCCGAAGCAAATATCACGAACTGCCAATTGAAAATCTGAAAATATCGTGAACAACGAATGGTGTCTCGATGATGAGACCTAGTATACGACGATTATCGAGATAAATATTTTGACATTAATTCTCTATCACGATTGCCGAGAAACTGTACAGTGTTTCGTGAGAGACAAATATAGATTATTCAAAGACGTGAGTGAATACGTGGACGGATCTGCTTAATCCAATGACCTAGTGCCGTATGAAGGAGGGTTAGAACGAGAGACAAGTAAACGAGACACGTCCCGAAGTAATGAGGTCTAATGACGTGTAAATAGGTGTACATACAGGGAAGTTCTTATATTATATTAACGCGCGTGATTTCTTTCAAGCAAAAGAGCGATTATACTTCATTTTTTCTCGTCTTTCTTGGCTTCCTCTCTCTTTTTCTCTCTTCTCTTCTCTCTATCTATCTCTCTATCTCTCTCTCTCTCTCTCTCTCTCTCTCTCTCTCTCTCTCTCTCTCTCTCTCTCTTTCTCGCTTGCTCTCGCTCTTGCTCTCCATATTTCTCTATCTTCTTCCTCTCTCTTTGCTTCTCTATCACTATAAAATATAGATATATATTAAGTATTAATTCTTACACTTTATATCTCTACATGTTCTATGTTGAATAATAGAACTTAGATTAAGAATACGCGCATTTGTGTAAAGAATATACAATTGATATATCGCTAATTCCGCGTTACATTTACGGAAGCTTGTTAAAAAATAAGACATGCACACAGAGACAATTCGCGAGTAGCACTTTTAAACTCGCGTTAATATACGTATTATACATATATACATATATATATATATATATATATAGCGTATATGAATACACGTGTACATATTAATAGTTCTATATACAATCTATAATCTCTGTCGTTCTAATTTTTCGTCAAAGTGTGTTTTCTCGCTGATTTTGTAGTATTCGAAAAGCAGGTCGGAGCAGTACGGGTATCCAGCGCTTAGCCTTTTAGCCCCGGCGCGATAATTAATTAGCTCGCGGGCATCGTTAGAGTGAAACAACGTCGAGCCGCGCGTATAGGACTCGAGGAAAGAAAGCGAGAGAAGAAGCGACGGGGAAACTCGCGTTTCCGTCACTAAAAGGAGAAACGTACGAGCGCGTAATCAATTATCAAGATTTGCACGAAATCACTTCTCACGACCGTGTCAAAACGCCTGTCGTCTTGCAAAATTACTTTGGGGGATCTATGCTAGTCCTAAAGAGAAATTTTCTTACGATCGTCGACACTTTCTCAAGAAAACTTTTCTCGCTTTATTTGCCTCCAGGCTATGTAGGCCGCGCTCAAGCTTAATGTAAAGGAAAGGTAAAAAAACACGGGGACCAATTTTTTACTCTTATTCTCATATAGACTATCTATCTGTCTATCTATCCATTTCTCTCTTTTCTCTTCTCTCTCCTTTTCTATCTTATCTATCTCTTTCTCTCTTTCACTTTCTCTATCTACCTTGATATTCTTAACTAAGTCGCCTATACCGGACTACCCATAAATCTCTGTACGCTCTGTCCGTGTTAAGTCTGTTGTGGACCAGTGAATGCAGGAAATACGAGGAACGGAGTTGCGATTCATGCAAGCAATAAATCAGAGACCAACTACGTATGACCACGGCACCGAAGAAGTAGCGGGAATAACGTTACAGCACCGTAGAAGCACGAAACCGAAGGTGTCAATCACGCCGAAATTAGCTAAAGTTAAGCTAAACTAGATTCTAAAAGATTTGGTCCAATAGAAAAAAAACGATTGCCGAAGACTTTTTAGCCGCGCTAAGCGAGGATATAAATACGCGCGCGATAGTGCTATACGTGTAAAAATCCTAAAGAAGAAAAGAAAAAGAAAAATCACACAAAATTGTAACATCTCGAGATACTTGAAAAATAGTTTTTTGATCGGGATCGAAGGCTAGATTCGCATCGCGATTAAAGGATTATCCAGCGGAAAGGGAGAAAAACGAAGGAACAGTGAAAAAGTGATTTCCCCGAATCGTTCGATCCCTCGCGAGAGACAACGGCTTCCCCAGGAACTCGCCGTGCGGAGAACGAGGAAGAAGAGGAGCGCGCGTGGCGGCATTTGCGTATTCGACAACGATGGCATTATCCTGAAACGGGCATGACGCCCTTGGCCTCGAGATGCGACGAGACCACCACCCTCCTGCTATTGCTGCTACTCGAACTGGCACCCGGGGCACGTTGCTATTCGCGCGCTGCCACGACATCCGCATCCTCCTTACCGAGATAGCATCTACAGTCCTCGACGAGGGTGCGAATGATGCCGCTTCTCGGCATTATGACCATCGCCGTCGATAGTCCGACAACGACGTCCACGAGCGTCTTCGAGGGGAACATGTCGTGGTCTCGACCGATTAGCGGTGGCTCTACGTTTTCGAGTAACGAGGCCCACCCGACACGTGCGATCTCGTACGGTGAACGTCAGACCGCGGCGGCTACCAGCGATCGTGTTAATCGCCTCCACGGAGGTGGCGGAGGTGTCGAGAGAGAAGAGGAAGAAGAAGAAGAAGAAGGAGCAACGAGGAAAGAAGAGGAGGAAGCGAACGCTACCGGGAACGAGGAAAAATATACCGGGGACGACGTGGCGACAAGAAAGGAAGCTTCCCACCATTGTGGCCAGACTTCAGAAATTCGAGTTTGTGGCAAGAACAAGAACACCGTAGGCGCGACAAAGAGTGGGGAAACTGCATTTACTGGCGAAGAAAACGTGGCAGGGATAGGCACCGGGGGTGGCGGCGGTGAACAAAGTGTCGACGGTATAGGCAGTACTAACGATAGTGTAAGTGTGAGTACAGCACGTGCAAGTGTATCGAATAGCACGGAGGAGGGAGTCGCGATCGAATACGGGAAGGGTCTGTTGCTCTTCGGTTTTAGCGACACGATGGAGGACATGATCGGTTCGTTCAACGACTCGTTCAACACGAGTCACCGTTATCCTTGGAACATTAGCTTGTATAACGAGACTTTGATCGTTCGGGGCGAAGGTCTCTATCCGTCGGGATATACCCTTCCGCACATTGTGCTCGCGTCTATTCTCGCGACGATGCTGATGATCGTCATCGTCGTGGGAAATATGCTAGTGATAATCGCCATCGCAACGGAGAAGGCGCTCAAAAACATACAGAATTGGTTTATAGCCAGCCTCGCGGTAGCGGACTTCTTTCTCGGCCTCGTCATCATGCCGTTCTCACTCGCGAACGAGATTATGGGCTACTGGATCTTCGGTTATTGGTGGTGCGACATTTATTCCGCCATGGACGTGCTCCTGTGTACAGCCAGCATCATGAATCTGTGCCTCATCAGCCTCGACAGATTTTGGAGCATCACGCAAGCGGTCGACTATTTGAAGAAAAGAACGCCGGCTAGAGCGGCGCTTATGATTGCTCTCGTCTGGCTGTTGTCGGCCCTCGTTTGTATACCACCGTTACTCGGATGGAAAAGACCCACCCCGGAGGAAGAGTATCCCAAATGCGTGGTGAGTCCAGATTGTTATATTAAACCGAAGCTAACCGTTATTTATTGCGATTTTAATTTATTGATTATGCGCATCGAATATTAATCGTTATACGATACTTTGGAGTGTTCAATCCGGCCGATAAAAGTAAGCCGATATCGCGCCGATATAGTTGCGTAAGAATTTAGAGTTACATAAAATTACATAAATCGTAGTTACAGCGGAAGCACGGAAAATCGAATCGGATTAGGTTTCTGTAATGAATCGGAAAATTCAAGTATCCCCGCAAACGTCATTTACAGTTCTAATCGTTTATTTGCCTTCTTCCGTTATTAAGTTGTTTCAAGGGAAGAATTATTAGAGCAAAGAGGTCAGGCGTCGAATTCAATTACTTTAGGCAATCAGAATCTTTCTGCGCTGTACATGATGTCAGAAGCAAGGAATGAGTTAAAATTGAGAAGAAGTTTACTTTTACAATCAAATTATAAATGAAACGAATTTAAAAAATTCCCCTTTTCATGCAATCCTTAATCGTTTAAATTAATTTATTCGTTCGTAATTTGATCAAGATCGATAAAATCTTGATTACTTTTTACAACGGCACCGATACATTTTTTATCTTCATTTTATTCATCTTTTAATAATTAACAACAATAATATCCTACGAATAAAAATTTTATTTTCTTCATGTGACAATTTTTTTTTCAATATTTTATGAATAATTTAGCTCGCAATGACTGGCGTTAATACATCTCGATAAGTACGGATTGATGGTTCACGTTTAAAGCACTTTGATGAATTCATTCATGCGCAAAAAAGCGTCGTAACGAGTTGACCGTAATATAAAAGCCGCAATATTAAGCAACCCATAAGCCCCTTCTGCGAAGATTGTAAGAGAAAACACAGCACGGAATTTACAATGGATTTTTACCTTTAAAATCCTCTTCGATCCACGGGTGTATTACCGGAGTGGCCTAAAAGGTAGTGTCCCCGATGTATAACCAATTTCCAATCCGAATATTTCCACGACGTATTCTATCGTATATGCGCGAGAAGGAAGAAAGTAAGATGTGGGACTCGGGCAGAGAGACGAAGCCTTCTATGCAACAGCGAAACCCACCCTTATCCCGAGTCCCTTGAATCTCGATCACGCTGATCTCCACAAAACGGCACTGTGAATTGGATTCCTATGCCCGACAGTTCGATCTACTGAATTGGCATACTGAAATTCGTATCGGGTTCCTTGCCTTGTATCTTGTATCGTTTGCGTAACCTTCGTTATTTACTATTATTACGTTTTCTAAAACGTTTATATAATATAATAAAAAACATGAATTTATACATTAAAATATGACATGTATAAATATAATTTATAATAATAATTATTATATGTATATATTTATGATATACATATATCGCGAAAAAATTTGAAATATTAATTAAAACATATAAGATATGTTTTATTATAATCAATATATTATTATGTAATTATTTTGCAGACATAAATATACGTATGCAAATTACTATGAACTTTCAGCATTTATTGCTTAAAAAGAATGTTTGAGCAGCTCTTTCCATCATTTATTACAGCTTCTTACAACAGGAAAATAGGTAATCTAAGCAAGAGAGAAAAAAAGAGAGAGAGAGAGAGAGCGAGAGGGAGAGTAAAAAGTGCTTTCGCGCTATTATAATTGCACACGCTGGCGCATGATTGAGTGCACCCTTAAACTTCCAACGGAACTAATTACCGGGTATAATTGAGCCATACATTCCTACGGCGTATAGTTGCAAAACTTGTTCGTTGTGCGAATCGTTATGATGGATTATAAAGCATTTTGCGAATGTGCAAATACGCACTATATTCAATTTTTTTATATCTGCATAAAACACGTTCGAATATATAAGTTTAATAATGACAAACAAGTTACGTATTTTCTTCATTAAATCATGTAACCTCTACAATGACAATCCATTACGTGCAACTCGCTTATCCGCTCAAGCAAGTTGATAACAACGATAATTATATGGAAAAGAATTATATTAAAATTGGCGAAATGGTAGAGCAAAAAGAAAATAGCAGGGAAAGGAAAAGTGTAAACTCGATCGCGAGTAGCGAACACGGCCTCTTTGCTTGGTATTTGAATGAAGCGGCATATCGTGACGATGGAGAAGCGGTTATTATGTGCACGAAAATCGAGTCCGTCACGAAAACGTGACGGTAAGTGACGAGTCGAGATCCTGAGGATACATACGTCGACTTGGGCGAGGTTGAAATGTGTCGTTTAAGAATCTGCTGAATCTACGAATTACATCACGTATTGCTAAAAGGAGTAAAATTTGTTTCTCGCGACTGGAGATTGATTCGTCATAAAAAAATTCAACGTGCTGAATTGCAATATCAATCCCTCGCTATAAAAGTATCGTATCTTAGATATACATCTATAATATATACGTGAGAAAAGCGCTGAGCGTTATATCTTATTTGATAAATCTATCTTTAATATAAAAGAAAATAAGAATTCTTCCTTTTATAAATATAACGATAAAAAGCCAATTTTCTTTTTCAATTACGTAGTCACTTGATTAAATTTTTAAATGTGAAAGTATGAGATTTGTAATCTATTGTTCCACATATCAAATAGCGATTATCATTTGTTTTATCATTTTCAAGCTTTATCTAAACAATTAATTGTCTGATAGTAAAAAAAATGTAAATCGTCGTAATATATTAAAATATAAAATTTCTATGTCGGCATTGATATCATTTACTATTGTTTAAACTATAAATTACATTTCGTTATATATTATATTTATATTTTTGATAAATTATATACATATTATTATACGCGATTATAAATATAAATTAATATTTATTATATTTATATATTCTCCTCATTTTTTTCCCTTATTTATCATCTCTTAATCGCAGGAAGAGATGCACTTTTCATTCTCCTGATATTTTCCGTTTAGAAGCAGCCTGATGAAAAGATGACACGCGAACATCAGTTAAAGCACATTTTACTATCTTTTTTTTACTCCATTACTTCCCGCTATACTTGTCATTATGGCTCTGACAATCTTGTTCCACAATTTCTTGCTCTCTTTCATACCTTCTTTCCTCATCCATCCAGCCAAAGACACGATGTGAGGCCCTCCCAACCGACGATATTGCCATTGGATTTTTCTGACCGGTGACAAATGGAAGATCGACAAGTACCATACGACCAGAACGAAGGGGCGGACGATCACAATCATCGCGCTTTAATCTTTTAATGCGATTAGATTGCGCTTCTTTGGCTATTAACAACGCCGGATGGAAAGTGCGATTTGTCTTCTTCACTATTTCCGCTTATCTTTATTTCACGAAGCTTGGTTGCTCAGAAAATAATACACTTTGTCTTGCATTAGAATGAAGAATGAAGTTATATAGAGAGCTTCTTCCTCTTTCTCCCCCTAAAAAATAAAGGATGTTTTTTCCGCTCACAAATTCCATGGTTAAATTACAAGCAATTTTTCTTCATCAGGTATAATTGATGAGAACAAGCTGATAAGGTCATGAAATATTTTGCGAAATTTGTATCGTATTCTATTTTGTATCACATATTCGAGAGTCGTATTTAAAATTTAATGTGTACGTACATGTGTACACACATATTTATGTGTATGTGTGTATACATTAAATATATGTATAATGAGAAATTTGCTGTGGAGAAAATAATTGTCGCCGACGTTTTAATGCGATTAATTTGCTTTATGCAATAGAATTAAAGGACAAAAAATGTAGCTAAATGCTATCCGCAGTTTTATATCCAGAAATTGAATGGAATAGATAACAAATTTTGCGCACGTGAACAGGAATTACTTAACGTATTTACTTTAATTATCTGTTAGTAAACTACATCAAAGCGGAGAGATAATATCAAAGAGGAATTTAGGCAAAATCTAGTCATTAATTCCAAGTCCTGCTTCTGACATAGACTACATCCAGAACACGAGCACTTATAAAACGTTTTGCAAAGTTTATAGCATCATCCAAAGTATCTGAATTTGTTAAGGAAAGTACGCAAGAAGCTAGATAGATAGATAGATAGATAGATAGAGATAGAGAAAGAGAGAGAGGGAGAGAATGAGAGAGTATGAGAGAGTTGAACGATACACATTCAGGAAGGAAGTAGTTCTCACTCTGCGTTGTCTTTTAATGCGATTAGTTTAACAGCTCCACAACGATGCAACGATGTGCAACGCAGTATAAGTTACAATTTACAACGAAGTTGCAATTGTCCTTAATAAGTGACAATGTGTTTGCCACGTGACTTTTATATGTCATTCGCAGCATGAAAGAATGGAGGAATTTTGCAATCAGTGTGTTTGAAACATTTCATGCATTTTTCGATATATTCATAACTTTCAATATAATATTCTTTCTTTTAGAAGAATATAACGAATTGTTTTCTGAAAATCTCTCTTTTCTCCCTCTAAAGGATATACCTTGCACAATTTTTAGTATGTGTTATATATAATATATTTGGCCTTTGTCTTGATACGAAGCGACAGCGTAATGCACAGTCTTTTGGAAAAATAACGTTACAAATATAAATAATCTAATCATAACGAAATCTCGCAACAACGTGTTTCTCACATTTATTTTACTTGAAATAAATTTAATAAATTGTATTACGCATTTTTTAATCAGAATTGAAAGAGACATTTTGTTTATTCATTTCAATTGTATTTTACATTTTGAATATCGTTTCTAATATCTGAATTTTGTGTATAAATTATAAAGTTCGGAAACTCGTTAGTATAAAATTCTAGCTGAATCATGATGTCAATTCGTCCAAAATTCCCCACGCGATATTTTATTATGACTATATATAAATAATTTATGAGCATATTTACAGAGAAATTCACTTCGACTCTTATAGTAGTAAGCAAATTTATTCATATTTAAAAAGGACTCGAAAAATCAATTATGAAATAAATTCTACGTAGTTTTTTAAGACTAAGCAAAAAGAAAAACC